GGCAGGTGAGATGTAGGAGACCCAGGTAAGTCCACGTGGTATCAAATCCTGGCTCTGTCACTCACTGGTTGTCTGAGCTCCGGCAAGATGATGAGCGTTCTGGGTCTCAGCTTGCTGGTCTGACTTGATGAATAGGGTTATAACAGAGTCTCCACCCGAGGGCTGTTCAGAATCTGAAGAGGGAGGTAAGTCCTCCTCACTAACTACTGGAGGTTGCCAGTCAGGGCTGGTGCCAATGTAAGCATGAGTCCTCTAAGAAGGAGATACGGCCTGACATGTTCTGTGAATGGCCTCATGGAAGAGGAGAGACAGGGGCTAAGCCACAAAAGACAAAGCACAGCTGAGCTCTGAAGACAGATATTCTAGGAAAAAGAAAAGCTAAGGAGATGGGACATTTAGATGGGACAGATAGTAGGTGGCTGGGGCAGGGAAAGAGAAACCTCGTCTTTGTAAGGCAAATCTGGAGGCACTACTTAGAGCCTATCTAGTGCACAGAGATGGGAAGTCAGAGGGACCAGTTGGGTTGTTGCAGAATCCAGAAGGGAGGGAGAAAAGCCTATTCCAGAGCAAAGGTTGTGACCACGAAGGATAGGTAGGTGAACCTATAGACCTTAATCACTGGATAGACATCGAGAAGAGAACTCAGAGGTCTGGTGCTTCAGCAAAGGGGTGGGTCTGTCCTAAACCACTGTCAGGGCCTGTAGGGTCAGTCAGAGAACAGAGGACTAAACTTCAAATCATAGATTTACAGAGAACCTTCGAAATAAAAGCAGCCTTTGCCTCTTTCTACTCCATAGATGCTCATTCCTCAGTGTTTGATCCCTGGCCCTCCCACTTAAAACACACTTCCTGACTGGGTGAGATCATTCCTGTCCAAAGCATCAGCCACTATTCTGAATGTTGGTAACTGCTAAATGTCTATCTCCCGCCAAGACTCCTTCCATGAACATGGGACACCTAGAGACGCCTGCCTCCTGGACTTCACTTGGAAGGCCCAACGGTTTGTTTAAGTCAACCAGACCACAATCAAGGGCATCCCAATTCCCCACTCACATCTTCATCCTCTCCCTGTATGCCCCATCTGAATTAACAGACCATCAACCCCCTTGTGCTGAACCCAGAAACCTCGCCCTCCCCCATGATTCCTCCTTCCCTCCCCCTTCCCTCCAGACTGCTTCATCTAGTGGGTTTATCTGCCTAAATGTTTTTTGTATTTATCCCTTTCTCTCCATTCCCAAGGCAACTGCTCCGATCCAGGATTTTATCTTTTTCTCACCGGACTTTCTGCTGCCACCTTCTAATTAGACTCCTTGCTTCTTGTCAGGTCCCCCCTGAAATCTGTTCTCTGCATGACAGTCAGTGTAGTCTTTCCACCCAGCAAGACAGCTGGTGTCTCAGCCCTGGTCAAAGGTCCTCAGGGGCTTCCCCTTTTCTTAAGGACAAAGGCTAAATTACTTGGAACTCAAGGCCCCTCAGAATCTGGTCTACCCTTCTCTGTCCTCACTACCTTTTCACACTTTTCCAACAGTGGTTTTTTTTTTGTTTGTTTGTTTTGTTTTTAGAGAGAGAAGGGGGTGGGGGGAAGGAGAGAGAGAGAAAGAATCTTAAGCAGGCTATGCACTTGCGGGGCTCTATCTCAGGACCCTGAGATCATGACCTGAGCTGAAATCAAGAGCTGGACGCTCAACGGACTGAGCCACCCAGGCACCCCCTTCAACGGTGATTTTATCCTCCAGCCATAGCTAATCGCTTATAGTTTGTCAAACCCGCATGTTGTACTTGTCTCTCCCTTTGCTCAAATACCCCCATTCTCCTCCTCATCTGGATTGGCAAACTCTAATCTGTTTTTCAAGTTTTGCCTCAGTCTCCACTTCCCCTGGGGAGCCTTCTCAGCCTGTGCCAGAGATGCCGCCCTCTGTGCTTCTGCTGCACCTGGCCGTTTCCCCTCTCCTACGGCAAAGACCCAGGATGGCCGCACATTCATTCACCCATCGGCTCTCCATATATTTACTGAGTGGGTGTTGGGGAGAGAAGGATGAGCTGAAGACATGTGACTCCCGACCCACTAGAAAAGGATGGCTGCCACTGTTTGCTGTCTGACTCGACAGCCTTTGTGGAATGATTGATGATCCTGTTTTCCTGTGGCTCCAGGCCTTTGCTCTTGCTATCCCCCAGGCCAGGAGCATGCTCTCCCATCTGCACAGCTGGCTTCCTGGTCAGATTAGTATTTAGACTCAATTCCCCTCCTCACCCTCCTTCTCTGCCCTTCACCTGGGTTTTCTGACTCAATAGCATGTATCTCTGCTGAAACTATCTTGCTTATTGGCTTCTTTGTCCACCTCTTCTTACTCGAACCTCAGCCCCTTGAGAGCAGGGAGCTTGCCATAAAGTCTGGGAGACTAGTGTGTGCCAGGCACACACGGGGGGCTCTGTAACGTGTGATAAACGAGTGGATGATTTTGTAGACAAGGAAGCGGATGTGGAAAAGCAAAGGACCGGACGTGAGCAGGAGATTATTTAATTATAGACCCAAGACTAACCAACCATGGGAATCACAGCTCTAGAGTGGAGGGTGGCTATGGAGTATCAGTGACACAGATACAGGAGGCAAAGTCAGGCAAGGTAGGAGGGAATGTGCTGACATCCTGGAAGGAGTGGCCTGCTCTATAAAATGGAGAGACCCGGATTCACTCTCTTCTCGTTTTCTGACCCTTTGTAGAATTATTTAGGAAACAACATCTCTCATGGGCTAAAGAAACATTTAAAATGTACCAGTAATTCTTTCAGCTTCCTGTCAGCTTCCCTTTCTTAAGAGAAAAATACCTTAAATTTGAAAAAAGCAACTCTAAGGTGTTAATATTTTACAATAGATTTATTTTTTTATCTATCTATTCTTCTGTCAACCCTGCTTTTATCCAAGGACATGGATATATATATAGCACACACACAAAAGATAAATGTCTGGGATTTATCTAATATTCATGAAAGTTATTTCTAGCTGATAAAGTTTTGGTTTCCTTTTATTTTCTGTATTTTCCTGCATTAGTTTTAATTTTTTACAATGCACATGTTTAATATCACTTTTGCAAAAACAAATGATTTTTTTTTTTTAAAACAATTGGGAGCAAATATACCAAAATGTAAAAGATAGTTCATTTTGTGGGTGTTGTATGCAACTGATGAATCACTAAATTCTACTTCTGAGACTAATAATGCAGGATATGTTAATTCAATTCAATTCAAATAAAAAATTTTTTAAAAAGTTAATTTTTCAAGGTAGGGCCATTGAGCTATTTTGCATTTTTCTGAAAGAAAATTTTTTTTTTTTTTAATTTTAAAGAAGAATGTTCAAAAAGGAAAATCGTGAATCTAAGATTAGTGCATTTAGGGATCCGGAGAGGGCATGCAGATTCAAGGTCAAGGTTGAACGAGTCGTAGGGCAAGGTGTTTTTTCAGCCCAGAGAGGCCCCTGGGCAGGCAGCTAACAGGAAGGATCTGGTAGCCAGGGTCATGACCCAGGGAGGGGAGTTGAGGTTGCCATTAGAAGCTGGGCCTCCCGTGGCCTGGGGGCATCCAGCAGGCCGATACCGGCTTCCCCCAGGTGACGACCTTGATTCCTGGGAGAACATTTAAGCAATCAAAGGGCTAAGTTCGCACAGCAACCACAGCCCGTTGGATGGGTGCAGAGGTTTGACTACCTTAGCCCAGACAGGCGTCCAGCTCCCGAAGGAGCCAGGCTCAAAACAACTGTTCCGTGATTATAAACGTGTAGCAGGCAGTACGCGAGCATCAACTGAAGATTTTTTTCCTTTTTCAAGAGAGGAGAACGATTCACATCGGGAAGAAGCTATGGGAATAGGAGAAATTGAATATGACACAAGAGGGAGGGAGGAGTGGGTGGGTAGAAATGATAGAGGGTGTAGGCATTGGGTGGGGGAGACAAGGGAAGCCTTCGCTTCCGTAATACCGAAATCATCCACTTGCGTGTCCATCTTTTCACCAGACTGTGACCTTCCCTGGTGTGTGCCCAACTCGTCTTTGAGACCCTCCCCATCGCTTCGCAGGGCATCGGCTCCCCGTAGCTGCTCAATAAATGCTCAACTGAACGAGACAGCTCCTTGCATGGGTCCAGTTCGGGGATGACGAGGAGAAAGCAAGGAGGCGGGCGCTCCGGAGTTCCTTCGGAGGGACTATTGGGCATTCAAGGGGTGGTGGTAGTGGTGGTGGTGGTGGGGCTGTCACACTTTATAGCGGAGGGAGCGGTGCAGACAGCGGCTCTCTACGCGGGTTCGCCAACCTCAGCCCTTGGGGACGGAGAGGGATGTCGAAGGAGGTGGGGAGGTGCGTGCGCCCTTCTCACCAGGCCCTCGGATGCTGGGTGGTACCCACAGAGGCGCTCGGATCGCTAGGGACGGAGTTGAGCCAGGGGTCTTCCCTCCCGGCTCTGAGCATCTTGGTCCTTCAATTTCACAGACCTCGCCTTCCCCATCCGGCAAGTGGGAAGACTCCCTGCTTCCAGGACGCCGGGATGGGGAGGGGGGCTGGGAAAGGGAGTGCGGAGATGGCGGCGCTCCAGGGTGCGGGCATCCCCGCAGGGTTCGTGCCGGTTCGCTCCGGCCCCGGCGCCAGTGCGGCCGGGACCCCCGCCCGGTGCCGAGCGCTCCTCCCTCCACCCCCTTTCCCGGCGCCCAGCGCTCCGCTCCCCTCCCCCCTAACCCCAGCGTCTTCTGGGCCCTAGGCAGTCAAGGCGCCCCAGACCCGCCCCGCCTCCTCGCGCAGCCCTCCGCCGCTCGGCGCCCGGCGCTGCCCCGGCGGCGGGCGGAGGGGCGCGCGGGGCGGCGAAGAGCCGGGGCTGGAGAGCGCGGGGCGCGCGGGGACCGAGGACGCACGCGGCCGGCCGGGCGGCGCGCGCTTCCCCCTCCCCCGCGGCCCGAGCGCGAGCCGCCGTGACGTCACGGGCCGCCCGCCAGCCCCGCGCTCCAGCGGGCAGAGCGCGTGCGGCCGCCGAGCACATGGGCTCGCGGGCCGGGCGGACTCGGGGCGGCCTGGACCCGGACGGGCCGCGAGGGGTCGCGCGCAGGGACGGGCCCCGACACCCCCCGGGCCCCCGAGCGGATTTCCACGCGGGGAGGATGTTGGCAGCCCCGGCGACCTGCCGAGACACAGCGGGATCCACCTTCCAGTAAGTTAGAATTTTGCCCTCTGCGTTTCTGGGAACTCGCAAGCCTCGGCCTTGCGGGTTGGGATGCGCAGAGAGTAGTTGGACAGAGGAAAGGGGCTTTCGGATTCCGATGTGTGCTTGTTAATCGTGCACTTTGCTCATCACCAGACTCGAGAGTGGCGGTGAGTTTGGGCGTTGGTGGGGGGCGGGGGGGGAGGAGACATCAAATGGGCCATGCATGCATGAGATAATTCCGGGTTTGTGCACTTGATGGAAGGTGTATTGTTACCCAACACCTAAAAATAGACCTCCAGTCAGTCCCGATTTGGGGTCGCAGATGTCGTTTGGAGGACCCTTTTGAGAAGCTAGAGGTCTGTGAACCATATGATGCTGCCTCCATCCTTTGACCATTATCCTCCCCCACCAGAGGATTTTCAAAAACCCAGCAATTGTTTTTGGAAACTTTCTGTGCTTTTGCATTGCATTTACAGATTTGCTGGGTGCCCCCACACCCTTCTCATGGTCATTCTTTTTGGATGGCTTGTTGGTGTAATTGTGTTTACTCTCCCTAGACTAACGTGCTCTTATTTTTGCCAGTGTTGGGGGTGGGTATTGACTTTCAGGAAGGGCAGCCATGAGGCTGCATGTGTCCGGTGCCCGGATACACTATGGATTTTCCTGATACTCTGTAAGCATGGAATATTCTTCTGCTCACTGGAGCCCCTGGCTTCTAGAAGATGAGAGAAGAGGAGAAATCACTTGTGAGGGTTTTTAGGGACTAGAGGGGGAAGTTTTGGTTTTCCTCTCTGGTCTTATGTTTTCCAAAGAGGCTGGCAACCCCCTCTGGCCCACTTCACCACTGTGAGCCCTGCCTCCTGGAGCTGTTTCGCTGCTGGAGGAAGCAAAGGCTGGAGAAAAACGTGTGTTTGTGTGTGGTGGGTGGGCGGGGGCCTGGAGGACGGAGGGACAGTATCTGCTCTGCTGTTAGTCATAGGATGTTGCAGACCTATTTTGCATACTGGCGTTGACAAGTTGAGGCTTGTTCATTTGACACAGTCCTGTGGTCACAGCAAATCTTTATAAAACTCTAACCAGTGGAAAAGGTGCTTGTATGGATCCTCTGAACCCTGAGTGGAACTTCCTGAAAGCTTTATTAGGAGAAAAACCTTCCTGGAAGCAGCGGAAGGACAAACAGAATCGCTGGCTGGGCAAAGCCTCGTGGCCTGGTCTCCACGACTTGAGGGGAGTTACATCTTAGAGGTGAGGACTCCTCGTGGTCTGAGCCATTGGCAAAGGGCCGGACTGGAATTCCTTGTGTGGGTCTGGTGATGGAAAGGCTGGGTGGGTACAGGGGCGACCATAATGCTGTACCCATTGAACTCCTAGAGGGGGTTTATTAGGTGGTCATGTTGTTGTTTGGCCTGGTGAAGGGTGCTGTTTATTGTTGTTGTTGCTTTACCTACTCTGAGTGCAGAATATTGCATAAACCGGGCTTCTCTTGAAAGTAGACGAAATCAGCTGCTTTTTCAGATTTTCCTCTCTCTTCTTTCATCTCCACCCCCCCCTCCCCCCATGCTGTCCGGTGTGCTCTTTCTGTCCGTGGCTGGAGCTTTTTTGGCCTGGAAGGACCAAGTTCTTTTTCTCAGTTCTGAGATCTCTGACCCCCACTGGTCCCTGTGATTGCTGGTCTGAAAACCGGATGGGTTCTCCCTGTCCACATCAGTCAATCCACGTGCTTCGGCGCTTTTTTTTCTTCTTGAATGGCAGGCAGGCAGGCAGGCTGGCTGGGTTTGGGGCCTTCTGCCTGCCTGGGATGGACGCTTTTCTCGGACAGCTCAGCTCAGGAGTCTCCTGGATGATAAAACACCCCTACTTTCTTCTGTGTGTTCGTGTCCCTGAATTTGGCCAGACCAATGGCAAATCAGCCCTTTCCTGAGGAAGCCGAGGACCTTAGGTAGTTGCTGGTCCGTATTGTCTGGGGACGTGGCCATGGGCCTGTTAAAGGCCGCACTTGACTGTGTCTGTTTGATGTCAGATGCCCTCCTGGATGCTCTGGCTTTTTATTTTGTATTCCCTTTCACTTTGGCTGTAGACACATCACTCCCCTTGTGTTTGTTCTTTTCCTTCTCTCCTGATGCTGGTTTGTGATCTCTTTAAGAGACCAGGACTCCCTTGTTCTGTATCCCGCGTCTGTAGGGAGACCCGGATCCAAGGTGGGAACAGAGCAACATTGATGAGCCCCATTGACAGTCTCCCTAGTAAACCTCAGAAATTCTAGGTCTTACTGGAGAATGCTGCTCAGAGGGTCCTTTGATAGGTGCCTCTGATAGGTGCCTCCTCCATCTCTTCTGTTTTTCCAAGTAATCTATGGAACTAATAAAGGTAGTAAGAATAACAGATAATAATAATGATAGTAGTTCCTATAACAGGAAATTGTATATCATGCCAAGCATGTTCTTTGCATTGTATGCCCCTTACAACCTTACTAGGCAATTATAATAAAATGTGTAGCAATGATGAGGTTCTTGTGGGCCAGCGTCCGTTCTGAATGCTTTAAATGTATTACCTCACTTAATCTCCCAGTAGTCATATAAAATAGGATTATTATTATTACCAGAATTTTGCAGGTGAAGAACCCACAGCTCAGAGTAGTTGAAAATAATTGCCCCTCAGGTCACGCAGCTGGGGAGCAACATAGCCATCAGGATTTGGCCCAGGGCCTGCTTCCAGAAGTAAGAGGGCAGTGAAATTAAAAATAAGCAAAGGATGCTTATTGGCCTCGAGCAGGGGGACTCAGGCAGGATAGAAACGGTCACATCTTGTACAAAGACACCCCTTGCTCTGGCTGCCGGCCTCTTTCTGCCCTGGGGGAGCAGGCTGCTCCTAGTGGGGCCACGGAGTCTCAGACAGACCTTTAGTGTCTGGAGAGCTCTCGCCCCAGAGTCTGGGGAACAAAGCCCCTGGGGCCCCGGGCAGGAGGCTCAGACATAGTGCAGAATCTATGAGTATTTGTAAAGTGCCACATCCAGACACCCTGCCTGACTTTGTGACCAGCATTTAATTACTATCAAAATCCACAGCAGATGGGAGATAGGGTTCTTTTCAGCCAACCTTCCCCTTCCCTCACATTCCCCACAACTGCTCTGAGTCCCTGCCTTTATCCTGAGTGTGTTCAGCTCCTACAGCTACTGAACCTACCCATACAAAGATTGTGGTGGCCCCTCTCGCAATCCTGTCAGTAAAAACAATAACACCGTGGGTCATAAAACACAAGACTTAATATTCACGAGGTCAACATGGTCTCAGTCATTTTTACTGGCAGAAATCTGACTTGTCTTTCCTTTGTTTTCTCTTCCTCTTTTTTGGGGGGTGAAGGTAGAGTAGAGGGTATTGTTTTGCTGGCGTCTGGTGGGGTAATCTATAAGCCCCAAGATTACTTGTTTACCTGCCACTTTCTCCCTTGTTGACCATGAGCTGCTTGAGAGCAGGGGAGGGTGGGGTCAGGAGGGGCCGGTGGTCATCTTCACCAGACAGATGTGTTAGCCCTGGGTCTTAGTTGAATCAGGTGACTGTCAAGGACTGCTTTGTTTTCAAGGAATCGAGCAGCCCCCAGGCTACAGTCATTGTCAGTAAGAGATGAAACCGCCCAAAGTGGGGGGAAGTAGAGGGTTTGCCCCGCGGGAATGGACACTGAAGGAAGAGAAGGAAACCAGCTAGCTGCTGGAGGTGTCTGGGTAATGCCTAGAAGAGGTAGTGCAGATCAGGGGTATTTTGGGGGCAAGTTACTTCACCTCTGTAAGCCTCAGTTTTGTCATCTATAAAATGGGGACGATAAAGCACTTGCTTCACAAGTTGGCCGTGAGGAGGAAATAGGGGATGATCAGCATTCGGCAGAGTGCCTGGGCTCCTAGTAAACCCTCTGTAAAAGTTAGCTAATATTACTGCTGCAATTATTGGGTTTTTATTACTTCCTGTGGCTGCTTGGAGGAGTGGTTTCTGAATACATTTTAATGTAAAGGTAACACTGGTGACACAGATGATAAGATGGCAGTGACTTCATAGAGGTCTTTGCAAGAGAAAAGGCCTGGCAGTTATAAGTAAGAAAGAGATGAGCCATCAGGGAAGCTGCAGAAGCAGGTCTCTGAAAGGACAGGGATGGGGGGGTGCCCCTCAGGCCTCATCCTGTCTTTGCAGGTGACTTACCCTCTCAGCTGCCATGCAGGGAGAATGGTTTTGCCGTCTTGGGGATGGTGCAGAGCACTTTGCACAGAGGAAGTAAGCCCTTGAAGCAGACAGAAGAGCAGTTGTCACCGATTATTCTTTAGGACTCCCTTTTCCAGGGGTGCCTGGGTGGCTCAGTCGTTAAGCGTCTGCCTTCGGCTCAGGTCATGATCCCAGGATCCTGGGATCCAGCCCCGCATCAGGCTCCCTGCTCAGCAGGAAGCCTGCTTCTCCCTCTCCCACTCCCCCTGCTTGTGTTCCCTCTCTCACTGTGTCTCTCTCTGTCAAAAAAATAAATAAAATCTTTAAAAAAAAAAAAAAAGGACTCCCTTTTCCAGGTAGCTTTTTGCTTCTCTGCTCAAGACCGACGGATCCATTCATTCGTTTGCTGAGCAGCTGCTGTGTTCTGGGCACTGTTCTAGCTGCCGGAGATCCAGCAGGGAAGGAAAGAGACAAAAATCCCTGCCCTCCTGCGGCGTCCTTTCTAGTCCAAGCCACACAGTGGGACAGGTGAAGGCAAAAACCGCACCCACTCGGTGCAGAGTGGTTCTGGCCCCGCCGTGCCCTTGGGTGTAAGGTCCCTAGCACCAGCCTTGGCATGTGGTCGTTATGATGTAAATAAGTGGTAGTTGCTGTATTTATATTCTCTGAATGTTTGTGTCCTTCCAAAATTCATATGTTGAGGGCACCTGGGTGGCTCAGTCGATGAAGCGTCCGCTTGGGCGGCTCAGGTCATGATCCTGAGGTCCCGGGATTGAGCTCCGCTTCGGGCTCCCTGCTCAGTGGAGAGCCTGCTTCTC